CACACACACACACACTGATAACAGCCAATCACTCGTACCGTCCAGCTGTGATTTCTTGGTCAGCAGGGCGGCGGAGGACACGTCTCCAGCGCTAACTCTGAAGCTAGCAGGCAGCGTGTCGGCGGAGCTCACACTCATTCCGCGCACATCTTTGGGCCGGAACTTCTTCCTCCAGGATGGCGCACGGCGGAAGTTCTTGTCATCATCCTGTGGAGAAACGGCTGTGATGTGAAGCGCTCAGATGTGATGCACAGACTGACGAGCGGACTGAACTCACCTCCTCTAGTCTCCTCTCCGTTCCTGCGGCTAACAGACGGCTGTACTCGTGCTCCAGTACCGCCCTCGCCTGCGGACACACAGCACTGACATTTACTGAAGTGTGACATCTGCATCTCTGCACAAAATAACATACTGACCACAACACGTCAACATGACTTTCTACTGTGCCGCACACATCAGCCATCAGAGCACAACACTCTCACACTCATGAATGAGTTCCTTAAGGAATAAAATGACCCAACGCTGACTGTTCTGCCTGTTGATCTTTACACAGCTAGTAACCTATAGTGTGACATGTAGTCCTATTTAGAGCATGGAAGATGCGGATTTGATCATCTGGAAAAGTCTGCATCTGGATCAGGCCGATCCAATCCAATGCTGCTTTGAAAACATGGATTACCTATTCCTAGACTGCAAAACATGGTTATTGCAGATATATGGGTTATATATCTGCAAAACAATATTATTGTGTGCTGTTCTGACATGTGCTTATTCTGAGCGCGTACACCTGAAGCGCGTGAACTGAAAATCCTGTCAAACAGCGCCTGATTACTGGACACGTCTGATTGCGCAAATACTGTCAAAAACACACAAGCTTTACATATAAACACAGCTGATTATGTCTTAAAGGTGCACTGAGTGATTTTTGCCAAACGATGTTGATATCTGAAAGCACCAAAACAAACTCGCCCAGACCCCAACAGGACCTCGCCCAACTCCGCCCACACTTACGTACACAACCCTGCCAGCGACGATGGTGGGTCTGCTGATTGGCTGCGAGTGTGTTTCGGGACTCGGTCCGACACTGTGGTCAAAAGCGTTTTTCAAAAATCACTTCGTGCACCTTTAAGTGAAAGTAAAGAGTTGAGAGAGAAACGGATGTGTGCAGCTCTTAAAGTGACAGCAGACTAATAGCACTAAACATGCTGCCGCTTGTCATTAAAGGGAGAGTTCACCCAAAAATTACACATTGCTCATTATTTACTCGCTCTCATGTTGTCCCAAACCTGTATTAATTTCTTTCTTGTGCTGAACACAAAAGAAGATATTTTGAAGAACGTGGATAACCCAACAGTTGATGATCTCCACTGACTTTGATCGTAAGAAAAACCACTGTGGAAGTCACTGAAGACCAGCAGCTGTTTGTTCCCACACTCTTCAAAACAACTTATGCTCAACAGAAGAAAGAAACTCATTCAGGTTTAAAACAGCTTGAGATTGAGAGTGAGTTTTAAAGTGTTTTATTTTATTATTTAGTGCTTTATTTTGATATTTGTTCATTCAGTTTCTTGAGTGCTACTGCTACATACACCTACTGTACCTGAAAAATAAAGCTTGTTTTATTTGTATATTTGTAATGTGTATCTGTCATTATTTTATCTTTGTTATTAAAAAATAAGCACAAAGATTTTTATCTTCGCCTATTTTGGCCTAAATGTCTGTTTATATTTTGTTACCTTGTAAGGCTTTGTTTTTAAAACAGGGAAATTAGTTTGGCTGTGCTGCTCAGACAAAAATAGTAAAACCGACATGACAGAATCGTGATAAAATCGTGATTTGATATTGTTGCCACATCGCCCACCCCATCCGGATCCAGATTAAATGTTTTAAATAGTATGACGTTATGTGTGTGCGTCTCACCTGTGTGCACTGTGTAGGGATCTGCAGCAGCAGCGCCAAGGCGTTGTGGTCGAAGGACTCGTCTAAAGCGAGGAGCGATCCGTGAACGCCGCTCTCCAGAAGATTCCCAGCATACTCCTTCAGCCCGATGGCCTGGACCCAGCTGAGCACGCGCTCGTTCGTCCACACCAGCACATCTGCAGCAGCAGCAGCGTCAGCACACACTCACACACAGCACAGAGACGCAGACCAACACGCTCACCTCTGACCTCCACCTGGGACTCGTCACGCCTCCGCTCCAGCTCTTTCCTGTCGTAGTTCAGTCGCCTCAAACACATCACGCCACACTGAAAACTGTTCCTGCAGAGCGAGAGAGAGCACCAGCAGCAGGGTTCAGCAGCCAAACAACACTGCTCTTCTAGACAGAGAAACTGATTATCTTTGCACACGCAAACACTCTCACTCACACACTCACACACTCTCACACTCTCACACTCTCACACACACACACACACACACCACTCTCTCCCATGAAGCACTGCAGGGGTTGTAATGAGTCGGTTTCCTGATATTCACAAACTATTTTCATGCAGTTAAAACATGGTGTTTAATATAACTGCACTGCTGATTTGGATTCGGTTATAGTTTCTTTCACACATTAAACTCATTAAAAATGACCATAAGATTTCTGAATTGACTTTTCGGTTAACTTCAGCTCTCAAACACCGGTAAACTCTGCAATGTCACTGATCTGACCTTCATCTGCCCATAATTCATAATCTGTTCAATTTGACAGCATGATTTGCCGTTGAGTGACGGGTGTTACTGTAAACAGCGATTGGCTCATCGCAGACGTCTCACGTTAACGCCTCCACACCTTGCACTGGCAATCCTAGCCTTGTTCTCTCATAATATCGAAATGGTTATTAACCTCCCATCCCGGGAAAACTGCCAGAAGTGATTTAGCTGTATTTCAGGTTCTGTTCACACCTGATCTCCGTGTTCTGGACGAGGTGTGAAAGTACTCGATGTACATTACGTACACACCTTGTACCTACAAAATAAACAGGCTGGCTGTTCAGTTCAGGGCTTAAACTCAATTTAAAATAGTAATCGATGGGGAAAGTACTTCTGGAGGCCAGACTGTGGGAAACCAGGCGGTGTTTCTGTGCTCAGGACTGACCTGTGGAAGCTGTCCACCATTTTGAGCTGACTGCGCAGGTCTTTTTTGGTCAGATGATCCAGCATACGAGCGTCCACCAGCGACTCCATGAAGTAGCTGCGGTACTGAGGCAGACCGAGGCTCGGCAGCCAGTCGTTACCGATCCACTCGTGGTTCATGTCACCATACGCCAGAGTCTGAGTGTGAACACACACACATTCAGTCAGAACACTACTCGCCTAAAAACATAACACTATACAACAACTTCATACACTCAGATTGATCATAACCACATTAGATTAGAGAAACATCCTCCTGTCTTGAGATAAAACCATCATCAGTGTGATCCAGAAACACATGGATTTCAAAGATAAAGACCAGCAGATGTTGCCTAACTGCAGCGAATCTCACGAAACCAGTCAAGAGCACATCCAGGTCACATCTCAGACTCAAAAACAACTGGGTTTCCTGCTAAACATCTGAACGGGCTGCATGTGCCCAAAACTAAATACTTCTGAGTTGTTTTGGTCTGATGGTGAAGTGAAACGTGACCTGAATGAGTTTCACAATTCATGTCCTCAAACACAGATAAAAGAGAAAGACTGAGGTTCAAACCTGGGCCCAGCTGCCCTCCTCATCCTCCTGGTGTTAGCAGGTTAGCATGTGGAGCGAGAGGGGAGTCAGTAGTGGAACAGAAACATAACGTGACACAGTTAATCATCAGCGCTGCATGCAGGCGATCACAGCGAGCAGCGAAGCACAAACACGCATTAGCGTTAGCATTAGCGTGACGCTGACAGTGACTGACCGTGAGCGGCGTGGCGGCCAAACTCTCCATCTCCGAGAGCGAGAGAGAGAGAGAGAGGACATGTACTACGGTAAAATCCACAGGAACAGCACAAGCTTTACCACGTTTACTCTTATCGCTAGTTCTTCTGCTGTTTACCCATAAACAGTCTCAGGCCAGAAACCTGAGGATTTCACCAAAATTTTCTGATCACTTATCAATACGGCTTTAAAATTATAGTAGTAATAATAATATTAATAAAAATAAACATCATCATTATTATTATTACTACTAAATAAAACATACAAATTACTACACAGAAACAAAATATTACTAATATTCAAAATATTACACTGTAAAATAGCCACAAAAAAAAAAAAAGAAAAATGAGTATTTAAGAAAAGAAATTGTTTTACATTACGAGTTTGAAAATATAACACTAATATTGAGAAGCCTTGAGGGCTTAAATAAAAGTTTGCAGGAAGCCCCTAAAGCTTCTCTTTCATTGATAAACGTTTCTGATCACAAGCTTGTGAAGATGTTTGGTTCATGCTGTGTTCTCAAATGCATGTTAAAGCGACTCGAGCTCAGAGCAGTTCATGAAGCATTTACTGTGAACCGAGTCGCTCTGAAACGCTCAATCATGATCTGTGTGATGTCATGATCTCGGTTTTATTTTGAGAAGCTGTGCAGCCCAACACTCGACATTAAAGGGATCGTTCACCCAAAAATGAAAGTTCTGTCATGAATTACTCGCCCTCATGTCGTTCCAAACCCGTAAGACCTTTGTTCATCTTCAGAACACAAATGAAGATATGTGAGCCGTGCTGGCAACACGAGTCCGAATGTGACGGGATCATTTTGAGCTACAGGCAAAAAAAAGTGAAAAATGTCGATTTTAGTCAAATTTGAGGTTTTCACAAAAATGAGTTCATTGAGCCCTCATCTAGTGATCCCAATCCTCCAAATAGTAATCAAACATCTAAAATGACCTTTATTTGTACCTTTTCTTCGTTCGCTCCTCACGCTGACTGTCATCCGAAGCGCGTGATCCCGATAAATATACACAGTATTCACGCAAACATAATCTGTTATGTCTTAAGCGAACGTTAGGGGAAAAACATCTGATGTGTAACATTATATTAGATCCGTGCATTACAGTGGGTCTTAATATAGGCTGCCTCATTAATGCTAATCTAACAATAAAAGAATCACTCGCTGCTCTTGATTTAACTGCTTTTGTAATAAACACAGTAAAGGAATTTTTACATTTGATTATTTTGTTTTTCTTGAATGCTTTTAGATGTAAATTGAAAAAGGTAATGCATTATTTGTTTCTTTCTTATATTTGTTCTACTGCTTTTTTTTTGCATCTGTTCTTATTTATAATAACAAAGATCAAATAAAAAATAGCTATATTGTGATTATTAATATAGTAATTATTATTAAGAAAAGAAGTGGAGGAAAAGATGCAAGGTTTCAGTGATTTTGCTTGGGAACCTTCAGAAAACTTTAACTTGATTTTTCTCAAAATTGACTTTGCTGACTCTATCGACATCAAACGGGTGCAGCTCAGTCATTTTTCATCCGATTCCAACAAATCATACATCATTCTGAAGGTCTTAGTTATAAAAATAACTCACTTTTGAAAATCTGCTCATTGTGACTCATTTTGCCAGCACAGGTCACATTTACTCACCCTCAAGTTGTTCCAAACCTCTTGAGTTTCTTTCTTCCGTTGAACACAAAAGAAGATATTTTGAAGAATGTTTGTTAACCAAACAGTTGACGGTAGCCATTGACTTCCATAGAGTTTTTTTTTTTTCAAAACCATGGAAGTCAATGGCTACCGTCAACTGTTTAGTTTACCAACATTCTTCAAAATATCTTCTTTTTTGAAGAAGAAACTCACGTTGCTCTGTGATTTTGCTTTGGAACCTTCAGAAAACTTTAACTCCATTTTCCTCAAAACGGAGTCATTTTTCATCTGATTCCACAAATCATACATAATTCTGAAGATCTTTTAATCTGAATGTGAAAATGAAAATAACTCATTTTTTTTAAATTGCTCATTGTGACTAATTTTGCCAGCACAGGACATCGTTAAAATAGTCCATGTGACATCAGAGGTTCAACCGTAATGTTATGAAGCTACGAGAATACTTTTTGTGTGCAAAGAAAACAAAAATAACGACTTTATTCAACA